CCATAGTTTCTCAAGCATTTTCGCCCAAAAAACTGCAAAATCCGCGTAAAAATACGGTATGTAAATGTTTAAAACGTCGTAATTTTCTTATATGATACGAACAAATCTTCGAGTCCATATACAATCAATAGGAAAATTTCCATTCTATTAAATGGTATATAACTTTAGTAGATCGGATGGTTACAGAAACATTTTCCCCCCAAAAACTGCAAAATCTGCGTATAATTATCGTGTGGCGCCATAACTTTCTTATATGACATGGGCAAAACTCCGAGACTATATAGAACATATTGGAAATTTTCCGTTCTATGCAATGGTATATATCTTAAATAGATCCCATGGTTTCTCAAGCATTTTCCCCCAAAAAACTGCAAAATCCGCATAAAATTACCGTATGTACGTGTTTAAAACGTCATAACTTTCTTATATGATATGAACAAATCTCCGAGGTCATATAGAATCGACAGGAAATGTTCCGCTCTATGCAGCAGTAAATAACTTCAGAAGATCGCATGGTCGCACAAACATTTTCCTCCCAAAAACTGCAAAATCTGCGTATAATTATCGTATGGCGCCATAACTTTCTTATATGATATGGGCAAAACTCCGAGACTATATAGAATCGATAGGAAATTTTTCGTTCTATGCAGTGGTATATAACTTTAGTAGATCGCATGGTTGCACAAGCATTTTCCCCTCAAAAACTGCAAAATCCGCGTATAATTACCGTATGTAAACGTTTAAGGCGTCGTAATTTTTTTATATGATATAAAAAGCTCCGAAACCATATACAATCAACAGGAAATTTTCCATTCTATTAAGTAGTATATATCTTTAGTAGATCGGATGGTTACAGAAACATTTTCCCCCGAAAAACTGCATAATCTGCGTATAATTATCATATGGAGATATAACTTTCTTATATGATATGGGCAAAACTCCAAGACCATATAGAACCTATTGGAAATTTTCTGTTCTATGCAATGGTATATATCTTAAGTAGATCCCATGGTTTCTCAAGCATTTTCGCCCAAAAAACTGTAAAATCCGCGTATAATTACCGTTTGTAAACGTTTAAGGCGTCGTAATTTTTTTATATGATATGGAAAGCTCCGAAACCATATACAATCAATAGGAAATTTTCCATTCTATTAAATGGTATATAACTTTAGTAGATCGGATATTTACAGAAACATTTTCCCTCGAAAAACTGCAAAATCTACGTATAATTATCATATGGCGATATAACTTTCTTATATGATATGAGCAAAACTCCAAGACCATATAGAACCTATTGGAAATTTTCTGTTCTATGCAATGGTATATATCTTAAGTAGATCCCATGGTTTCTCAAGCATTTTCGCCCAAAAAGCTGTAAAATCCGCGTATAATTACCGTATGTAAATGTTTACGGTGTCGTAAGTTTCTTATATGATATGGAAAACACCGAGACCATATACAATTAATAGGAAATTTTGCATTCTATTAAATGATATATAACTGTAGTAGATCGGATGGTTACAGAAATATTTTCTCCCCAAAAACTGCAAAATCTGCGTATAATTATCGTATGGCGCCATAACTTTCTTATATGATATGGGCAAAACTCCGAGACTATATAGAACATATTGGAAATTTTCCGTTCTATGCAATGGTATATATCTTAAATAGATCCCATGGTTTCTCAAGCATTTTCCCCCAAAAAACTGCAAAATCCGCATAAAATTACCGTATGTACGTGTTTAAAACGTCATAACTTTCTTATATGATATGAACAAATCTCCGAGGTCATATAGAATCGACAGGAAATGTTCCGCTCTATGCAGCAGTAAATAACTTCAGAAGATCGCATGGTCGCACAAACATTTTCCTCCCAAAAACTGCAAAATCTGCGTATAATTATCGTATGGCGCCATAACTTTCTTATATGATATGGGCAAAACTCCGAGACTATATAGAATCGATAGGAAATTTTTCGTTCTATGCAGTGGTATATAACTTTAGTAGATCGCATGGTTGCACAAGCATTTTCCCCCCAAAAACTGCAAAATCCGCGTATAATTACCGTATGTAAACGTTTAAGGCGTCGTAATTTTTTTATATGATATAAAAAGCTCCGAAACCATATACAATCAATAGGAAATTTTCCATTCTATTAAGTAGTATATATCTTTAGTAGATCGGATGGTTACAGAAACATTTTCCCCCGAAAAACTGCATAATCTGCGTATAATTATCATATGGAGATATAACTTTCTTATATGATATGGGCAAAACTCCAAGACCATATAGAACCTATTGGAAATTTTCTGTTCTATGCAATGGTATATATCTTAAGTAGATCCCATGGTTTCTCAAGCATTTTCGCCCAAAAAACTGAAAATCCGCGTATAATTACCGTTTGTAAACGTTTAAGGCGTCGTAATTTTTTTATATGATATGGAAAGCTCCGAAACCATATACAATCAATATGAAATTTTCCATTCTATTAAATGGTATATAACTTTAGTAGATCGGATATTTACAGAAATATTTTCCCCCGAAAAACTGCAAAATCTACGTATAATTATCATATGGCGATATAACTTTCTTATATGATATGAGCAAAACTCCAAGACCATATAGAACCTATTGGAAATTTTCTGTTCTATGCAATGGTATATATCTTAAGTAGATCCCATGGTTTCTCAAGCATTTTCGCCCAAAAAGCTGTAAAATCCGCGTATAATTACCGTATGTAAATGTTTACGGTGTCGTAAGTTTCTTATATGATATGGAAAACACCGAGACCATATACAATTAATAGGAAATTTTGCATTCTATTAAATGATATATAACTGTAGTAGATCGGATGGTTACAGAAATATTTTCCCCCCAAAAACTGCAAAATTGCGTATAATTATCGTATGGCGTCATAACTTTCTGATATGATATGGGCAAAACTCCAAAACCATACAGAAAATATTGGAAATTTTCCGTTCTATGCAGTGGTATATAACTTTAGTAGATCGGATGGTTACAGAAACATTTTCCCCCGAAAAACTGCAAAATCTACGTATATTTATCATATGGCGATATAACTTTCTTATATGATATGGGCAAAACTCCAAGACCATATAGAACCTATTGGAAATTTTCTGTTCTATGCAATGGTATATATCTTAAGTAGATCCCATGGTTTCTTAAGCATTTTCGCCCAAAAAACTCCAAAATCCGCGTATAATTACCGTATGTAAATGTTTATGGCGTCGTAACTTTCTTATATGATATGGAAAACTCCGAGACCATATATAATCAATAAGAAATTTTGCATTCTATTAAATAATATATAACTGTAGTAGATCGGATGGTTACAGAAACATTTTCCCCCCAAAAACTGCAAAATCTGCGTATAATTATTATATGGCGCCGTAACTTTCTTATATGACATGGGCAAAACTCCGAGACCATATAGAACCTATCGGAAATTTTCCGTTCTATGCAATGGTATATATCTTAAGTAGATCCCATGGTTTCTCAATCAGTTTCGCCCAAAAAACTGCAAAATCCGCTTAAAATTACGGTATGTAAATGTTTAAAACGTCGTAACTTTCTTATATGATACGAACAAATCTTCGAGACCATATTGTATCGATAGGAAATTTTCCGCTCGATGCAATGGTATATAACTTTAGTAGATCGCATGGTTGCACAAGAATTTTTCCCCCAAAAGCTGCAAAATCCGTAAATGTTTAAGTTTATAAACTTTCTTATATGATATGGAAAACTCCCTGGCCATATACAATCAATAGGAAATTTTTCGTTCTATGCAGTGGTATATAACTTTAGTAGATCGGATGGTTACAGAAACATTTTCTCCCAAAAAACTGCAAAGTCTACATATAATTATCATATGGCGATATAACTTGCTTATATGATACAAACACAACTCCAGAACAGTATCTATAAAAAATTTTCAGCTCTATGTAATGATACTACCAACAAAGCATGATTGCACAAGCTTTTTTATCCACTAAAACTGCGAAAACCTCGTATAATAGGGTCGTTAAGGTCAATCGATTAGAATGACCGTCTTTCAAGAAATCGATAATCTAAATAAAATTAGACGGATTAGTAACGTTTTCACGTTCGAAAATTGTTTAATTTTTGCAATAATTAAAGTAAAAGTTTAAAATTCCCCATTCCCGACTCCAGATGACGTTTCAAGTAAAAAGAAAGAAATCACAAGAACATTACGTTCTCTCCTGTTTTCTTCTAACGCATAAAATTCGTAGCATTGTCTCTCTCCAGGAATTTTATTGATTTTTATACGCTCCAATCGTACGTTAAAATCTGAGTGACGTACTTTGGAGTTCGCGCCCTGTAGTTTCAGAATCAAAAATTAAAAAATATAGTGTCAATCAATCTTAAAAAACTTTCGAATAAGCCAATAAAAAAAATACTTAATGGCCCTATTGCTGTGTGTGAATAATTACAGCATTAATTTTATGATTACAATTGTTAAGAAAATAAGAAAACCCAAATTTAGATACCTCAAAATGTGTTTGACGTGAAGTTTGATAATTTTAAGATGCATTCGCTACACGGCAAAATTTTTTATTTTGCTCCGCTGTTGATATCATTCTAGGGCTATCAATCTTTCTAGTGGTGTATTTAATATTCCGTTATCTCTAAAGACAACGAAAATATTATTTTGTAAAGTAAGTAAAAAAACAATGCTAAAAGCTTGTTGCTGTCGTCGTACTTTTTTTCTCACTAAACTAAGAGTTACAAATGACATTGATTTCTTCAGGTACGGTAAAACCATTTAGGATTTCTTTTCATTCCGACAACACAGAAGCCCCAACGGACATCGGAAATCGCGGTTTTTGTTTAAACTATGTTCAACAACCCTGCACGAATTCTCTGGTTTAGAAATTTAGAACTTTGTTTTACTTCGTCGATTTAGTTCGTGCTTTCTAAAGCAAATTTAAGTAAAAAGAAAAAAAAAACAAGTTAACCACATTTCAAAAACATTTATTTTTTAAAAGCACATTTACATTTATACATAATTATAAATAAAAATCGTAGTTAAGCTATAAAATTTTCTCTTGACATGGTCCCAAATTTAAGCTGATTAAATGTTATATTTTAAAATAAGTAAAGGTCAATAAAGTGCGAATATTTAATATGATTAATAATTTTCTTTTTGTTTTTTTTTTATTTTTTCTTTTAGCTATTAACCGAACTGGATGTTGCTTGATGTGCTTTCATGAAGTAAGTCAGCATATCGATGGGTAAAGGAAACACAATTGTTGAGTTCTTTTCAGCGGATATTGTATTTAAAGTCTGAAGTTAATAAAAAAATTAATAATATTTGTGATAATTTATAATCAATGCGAGAATTGAAATTGAAATATATTCATTCAATGCTTTCATTGATTTATTTTGTTTTATATTTTATATCGAATTAATTATTCTTAAATTCTTTGTTTTAAACACAATAAAAACAAAAATAATAAATTTCCATTCCATCAAAAACAAATATTGAATTAAAATAAATATTTGTATTATTTATATAAACTCGAATACACATAAATAAAAAATATTTGAAAGAAGCACTCAAAAAAATCAAAGCTTTTTTTATTAAAAAACATTTAAGCATGAAACATCGAACATAAGTGTTAACAAAGATCTTAGAAAGCAATAGTAATTTTCTTCTAATAAGGTTGTTAATTTTTAAATTAACAGGATACCTAATAATTAATAGTAGTACCAAGTTCTAAATCTTAATCAACGACGACAAAAAAATTGATGAGTTTAATATAAATGAATAGACCAAAATGATATAGGAGAAAACGAAATAAGAAACTTTATCTTCCCAATTCCTAATACTTAAAAGTTTCCTTCTGTCCTCAAGAATAACCTCCGTTTTTGATTCCTCCACTTTGAGGCCGATATTTGTTAGGCATTCAATGACTCTTTTGATGGAGTACTTTGTCAACTTTTGTTACTTTCTGTACTATAATTGTAAGATCATGAGTGTAGTTTTGACTCAACCCCTATCCCATCATTTTGCTATCATGTGCAAAATATTGAGCGATTATTAATAAAATTATAAGCTTTTCAACGAAACAGAATAATAAATCGCTATATTTTTAAATCGTTTTGAAACCATCAGCGTTTATTAATAAAATTATAAGCTTTTCAACGAAAAAGACAGTTTATTAAAATATCTATTAGTTCTTGAGATATCAACACTTAAATAAACATCAATCTGTATTATTCTCATTCTATGAATTAATTTGGGTCAACTTTAAAAAATCGTAATAAATCGGAATATTAAGAAATAGTTTTGAAACCATCAGCATTTATTAATGAAATTATAAGTTTTTCAAAGAAAAAGGCCGTTTTCTAAAATACCTTTTAGTTCTTGAGATATCAACTCTTAAACATCACTCTGTATTATTCACAATTCTATGAGTTAATTTGGGTCAACTTCAAAAAATCGTAATAAATCCGAATATTAATACATTGTTTTGAAACCATCAGCGTTTATTAATGAAATTATAAGCTTTTCAACGAAAAAGACAGTTTATTAAAATACCTTTTAGTTCTTGAGATATCAACTCTTAAACATCACTCAGTATTATTCTCAATTCTATGAGTTAATTTGGGTCAACTTCAAAAAATCGTAATAAATTGGAATTTTAATAAATCATTTTGAAACCATCAGCGTTTATTAATAAAATTATAAGCTTTTCAACGAAAAAGACCGTTTTCTAAAATATCTTTTAGTTCTTGAGATATCAACTCTTAAACATCAATCTGTATTATTCTCATTTCTATGCATTAATTTTGGTCAACTTCAAAAAATCGTAATCAATCGGAATATTAACACATAGTTTTGAAACCATCAGCGTTTATTAATAAAATTATAAGCTTTTCAACGAAAAAGACCGTTTTCTAAAATATCTTTTAGTTCTTGAGATATCAACTCTTAAACATCAATCTGTATTATTCTCATTTCTATGCATTAATTTTGGTCAACTTCAAAAAATCGTAATCAATCGGAATATTAACACATAGTTTTGAAACCATCAGCGTTTATTAATAAAATTATAAGCTTTTCAACGAAACAGACCGTTTTCTAAAATATCATTTAGTTCTTGAGATATCAACACTTAAACATCAATCCGTATTATTCCCATTTTATGAATTATAGGGTCAAATTCAAAAAATCGTAATAAATCGGAATATTAACACATAGCTTTGAAACCAACAGAGCTTATTAATAAAACTATAAGCTTTTCAACGAAAAAGGCCGTTTTCTAAAATACCTTTTAGTTCTTGAGATATCAACTCTTAAACATCAATCTGTATTATTCTCATTTCTATGCATTAATTTTGGTCAACTTCAAAAAATCGTAATCAATCGGAATATTAACACATAGTTTTGAAACCATCAGCGTTTATTAATAAAATTATAAGCTTTTCAACGAAAAAGGCCGTTTCCTAAAATATCTATTAGTTCTTGAGATATCAACTCTTAAACATCAATCTGTATTATTCTCACTTCTATGCATTAATTTGGGTCAACTTACAAAAATCGTAATTAATAGTAGTACCAAGTTCTAAATCTTAATCAACGACGACAAAAAAATTGATGAGTTTAATATAAATGAATAGACCAAAATGATATAGGAGAAAACGAAATAAGAAACTTTATCTTCCCAATTCCTTACTCTCTGCCAGGACGTGCAATGGTGTGATTGCCAATGCAGCCTACGCGTTGTAATATACCTAATACTTAAAAGTTTCCTTCTGTCCTCAAGAATAACCTCCGTTTTTGATTCCTCCACTTTGAGGTCGATATTTGTTAGGCATTCAATGACTCTTTTGATGGAGTACTTTGTCAACTTTTGCTACTTTCTGTACTATAATTGTAAGATCATGAGTGTAGTTTTAACTCAACCCCTATCCCTTCATTTTGCTATCATGGGCAAAATATTGAACCAAAAACCTTCCAATCGAAACATTCAATGGCAGAAAATAAGCAGGATTTTTAGGTGAAAAAAATCAGATAGATTCAAGAAGTCAGATAGCTGGAACCCTCTCTGTCATGAATAAAATGGTCCCATAAAAAGCATTCAAGATTTAACTCTCAGATGAGTAGCTGGACAATTTTAACAAGTTTTAATAAAACTAATTTTGTTATGAATCATTTTTAAAAGTATTCATACTCATTTTTAATTAATTTGTTTATATTGAAACGTAACATTTTTTTGCATAATAAATTCTCTTTATTATTTGTTTTAAAAAATTAAATATTAATAGAAAATCGAAATTCCCTTGTTTGAAAACGTCCAATTTCGTTAACTTCGCCGTTTTTATCTTCGTTCGTTCTTTCTAAAGTAAATTTGACTTTCGAACCGAGTTTAAAAGAAAAAAAAACCAAGTGGGTTAAGTTTAAATCATTTATTTCTTTTAAAAGCACACATTTAGAAGTTTTTACTTTGGTGTATGTGTGAGTGTTTGTTATAAAAATATCTTTCGTGTAAGTTCTTTTAATTAATGTGTTTTAACGATAAATAATAATACTTAAATACATTTCTTTTGTTAATTCTTTGGAGCAATTTTAATTTGATTTTCGCTTATAAAGTGGGTTTCTGCAACTCGGAGTGAGCCTGATGTGCTTTCATGAAGTAAGTCACCATATCGATGGGTAAAGGGAACACAATGGTCGAGGTCTTTTCAGAGGAAATTGTACTTAAGGTCTGTAGAAATTAGGAGAAATTAATTTATTTAGACGAAAAAGTTTTTATTTCATTCTATTTGAAATTTATTTGGGAGTTATTTTAATTAATAAATCATTCCATTATTGAATTAATTGATGCATTCTTTTTGTTAAAAAAAATAATTTAACAAAAAATGCAAGAATAAGCTTTTTTTAATAGGTGAAAAAGTGATATTAATAAAAAAGCACAAATTTGTTTCTAGGTGGGTATCAGTTTTTATTCCATTTGTGAAAAAGTGTAACATCAAATAGTTAGTTCATAATAGTTAATAACAGATATTAATATTTATTAATGTTACATCTAGTTTTTTTTAAACATCGATTTCAAAAATTTTTTATTTGTCTGCTTTAGTATTTTTTGTAGTCCACAAGTTCAAACGGTTTTGAACACGATTAAAAATATTTACGATTCATATTCGTATTCAAATATTAAACTTGCGTTATATTTTTTTAGGCAAAAAATGTGATAACAAGGTAGTTGTAGCCAAGAACACATATAGTTTTTTTTTATTTTTGTGTTTTGGCACCCGTTTCGATTCCGATAAGTACAATGTGTCCGTAATGTCATGGTGCACTTTTGATCGGTAACAAGAAAGTAACCAAGCAAGATAAAAATGTGAAATTTTCACCAAATAAAAGAAAAACCCTACTAGTTTCATACCTTTTTAGTGCAGTTCAATGTGGCTCCCATTTATTGCCCTACACACATCTAAACGAAAATCAAGTTCATCCCAGACACGATCATTTTTTAAAAGTCGTCACAAATCTGAATATTTTAAACCGTTTTGAAACTATCAGCATTTATTGATTAAATTATAAACTGTTCAATGACAAAGACATCTTTAAAAAATCGTAATAAATAGGAATTTTAATAAATTATCTTTTCAACAAAATAGACCGTTTTCTAAAATATCTTTTAATTCTTGAGATATCAACCGTTAAATATGAATTTGTTTTATTCTCATTTCTATGGATTAACATGGGTCATCTTTAGAAAATCGTAATAAATTGGAATTTTAATAAATCATTTTGAAACCATCAGCATTTTTTAATAAAATTATAAACTTTTTAACTAAAAAGAACACTTATACATCAATATGTACTATTCTCATTCTATGAATTAATTTTAGTCAACTTCAAAAAATCGTAAAAAATCGGAATACTAACAAATCATTTTAAAACCATCAGCGTTTATTAATAAAATTATAAGCTTTTCAACGAAAAAGGCCGTTTTCTAAGATATCTTTTAGTTCTTGAGATATCAACTCTTAAACATCAATCTGTATTATTCACAATTCTATGAGTTAATTTGGGTCAACTTCAAAAAATCGTAATAAATTCGAATATTAATACATTGTTTTGAAACCATCAGCGTTTATTAATGAAATTATAAGCTTTTCAACGAAAAAGACAGTTTATTAAAATACCTTTTAGTTCTTGAGATATCAACTCTTAAACATCACTCAGTATTATTCTCAATTCTATGAGTTAATTTGGGTCAACTTCAAAAAATCGTAATAAATTGGAATATTAATACATTGTTTTGAAACCATCAGCGTTTATTAATGAAATTATAAGCTTTTCAACGAAAAAGACAGTTTTCGAAAATATCTTTTAGTTCTTGAGATATTAATTTTTAAACATAAGACATTTTCTCATTTTTGGAATATACGATAATTCAACTATTGAATACAAGTCAATGTGTTGGCTTCAGTTGCGATAAATCCTTCAACATCTTACAGCGTAATTGGACAAGACGTCTGACCCAAATACCGCTGCTCCCGAATATTAAAGAAAAATAAGTATAAACCATACAAAGCGCGGGTAATTCATCATTTACGTGCCGGAGATGCCAATCTAAGATTAGAATTTTGTCGATGATATTTAGAAAATTTAAATAATCTGCTGTTTGTTCAAAATGTCATCTGGACCGATGAAGTTCCGTTAATAGTGCGTGCATTTTTTCTAACAATGAACGTATTTCTCTGAATGTTCTCAAGGAAGATTCGGGTTCAATGTATGGTGTGCTCTTTTAAATAATAGAATTTTGGCATATACTATCTATCATGAAAACTTAAACTCAGGTAGATACAGATAGATATGTTTTCAACGTGACGAAGCATCAGCGCATAATGCCAGAGTTATTAGTGAATTTTTAAATACAATCTTTAGCAATTATTGGAAACATTGTTTTCCATCATGGTATGGTTATCACCATAACAGCATTAACTTTTAAATACATACAATAGTTTTAGATAGAATAAAAACAATTTTGGCTAACTATTCAATAACTATAAGAAATATACCCAACAAACTATACAGGGTGTCTCAGCGAGACCGGTCATTAGACGCTTCTGGGGTTCTGGCCAACATAAAAATTTGAGAATTCAGATTTAAGTATTATCAATTGCGTTCTCTTCGACTAAAATATTTTCAGATTTCTAACACTTCCGGTTATACCGGAAGTCGCCACCTACTTTATTTTTTTAAATGGATTCCGTGTATATTTTTACAAGTTTGGATTTGTCTGTTTTCAGGGCTTACGAATAACTTTACTTTTTGTAATTTGATTCAGCCCTTCTCGAGTTATTCGAATTTTTCTAGAAAAATCTGCTCCAGCAGACATTTGTTCAAAAAATCAGAGAACACTCGATTTTTGGGATATCAATTTAGGATTCAGAACATGCTTAAGCAACATGATGGAGTATGTTTTGGTGCCGAGAACGGCTGTCTAGATCGTTTGGTCACTTTACTATGGCACGTTAACTTTTCGAAATTTTGAAATACCATAACTTTATTTTCTTAAACAGCACACCCCATATTTTATTACTTATTGTTAGTCGTCTTCGGCGA